AAAAGTAGTGACCCAATCCCAAATATAATGTCCTAATATAGTGCTTTATGAAGTGTCCGGCATACACTTCAAAATCTGTTTTCTTCCCTTGTGAGTACTCTCCCTGCTCGCCTTACAATTTAGACCTACGTAATAGCATAGGTCAAATGCGCTTGTGGTTACATTTTTTTCTTCATGCTGCAACTAGGTTCCCTCCAAGCATATCTTCACTTCTTGTGACTCCAAACATGCAGTATGATTCCAAAAAAACAAAAAACATTTTGTAGTGCAACACCGTTTAAATAAAAACAATAAATATGATTACCAAATGATCTTTCCTTTTCAATCTGCAATATGGCCGGTGAACATAACCTCTCCCCCAGAAATGTTGTTCCTGCTTGTATGATTGGCTCATTGATTTTCCCAAAAGTCTGCACTAATGCAGGGCATACATGGATTGCATTCCAAACGATTTTTGTACGAAAATCGGACCTAAGAATAATCTTCCGATTTTCACTCTTACTGGGGCAATGGCATTGTTACTGGGGAATGGCATCGGCCAATTTTCGTGGTTTCTCCCCATTTCATTTATCGGGCATGCTGGAAAATTCGTGAAAAACAACCGATTTTCGAAATCATTGGTGGCACCATCGGATTACAGAACAAACGACGTTTCGATTTCCGGACGAAAAATTGTACGGAATTCGAACAATGTATGGCCTGCATTAGGTAAAGGTCAGATTTTGAGCATCTTCTGCAACACACCTGGCATTTTTGTGGGATACTCCTAAAGGGAAATTGCATCTAAAGGGATGCAGACACTGCCAGTTTCCTCATTAGAGCCCTGCAGTTGTTGCAGCTGATTGATAATTATATAATCACTCCCATATAGATTTACTTGGCACATGGCCACAGACAAACAGCTATTTATTCAGAATAACAAAAGGTAGGGCTCTGCAACAAAGTTTATTAAAATCCTTGCAATGTACATAATCACCCAAAGGGGAATGGTTTTTTTTTCTCTACAAAAGTGGAGTTACTCTTTAAAGCAGGGTTTCTCAACTAGGGTTCCTCCAGAGGTTGCTAGGGATCCCTTGAGCAATGAGCAATTTCTGCCTCTCCGGTAAGTTCCCACCGACACCATTGATCTTTTTAGCTATCTGTAGAGGGTAATTCTTCCCAATGATCACAAGTGTAAGGAGCATTCTTCCCACCAATCATCACACTGATGTATCATGAGTTGCAGATAGTCATTTTTTAGCAGGGATTCCATGAGATCGAAAAGTTATTTCAAGGGTTCCTCTGTGTTGAAAAGTTTTGAGAAAGGCTGCTCTATAGCAACAAGACCCATTCTTGTTTCCAGGGGAATCGCTAACAGTCCCTACAGTACAAAAACTGTAGCTGCTGACTTTTAAAAAAAAACAGCCACTTACCTGTCCCTCAGTCCCTCGGTGTGTCCCCTGCAGCCTGTTTCACCGGCCGTCCTGTATTCCAGGTGCCGGCATCTTCAGTGTGGGCACCCGGCTGTGATATCTTGCGGCTTCATAGCCGGGTACCCACTGCGCATGCGCGAGTAGCGCTGCCCTTCATGAATGGCCCTATAGTCTTCTGGGACCTGTCACGTGTCCCAAAAGACTACAGGGTGGGAGGAAGGACACCTTCAGCTTCCGATCGCCTAGGCAATCGGACCAGAAGTGGAAGCGGGTACCTGTCAAATTCGGGTACCCACTCCCCCCCCAAAGGTTTTCCCGCGTTTTTCAGTGTTAGAGCGTTTATACAGCCAAAAAACTCCTCTAAAAAACCCACTAGTCCTGGGGGGTTTTTTTTCAGCCAAAAAACATTGATTACAGTCTGTGTGTGTATGGACACATAGGATAACATGCTGGGGGGTTTACTGGCTGTAGAAAAAAACATCAAAAGCCGAAAACAGCCGCTGTAAAAACGTCCCGTGTGCATGAGGACTTAAGGTAAATACACCCCACTACCTGTGCTACTTCCCGTCCCTAAACATTTACCCCGCTATATATTTCACCTCTCCTCTCTGGCTCCAGCGTCACTCCCCTCACTTTCTAGTTTCACAGGAAAAAAAAGCTGAGGGCTCATCAAACGTCTCTTAGCCCTTTTTAATTTTTTTTATTGACACTTTAAAATACTTACTAGTGAGCCTGCTAAGAGGTCAGTCTACAGGTACTTCATGTTATGGGTAAGAGCGCACAACGGTCTCCTAGTTGTGCTCCTGTCACATGTGCCCCTGTTTGAAACAAACACGAAGTGCTCAGGCATGGGCCATAAAGAATGTGAAGGGCAATTGTGTGCAGCTGACAATGAAGAGAGTGCATGTAGAAGTGGCTAAAATATGCTGAAGAAGATCAGCAGCATTAAGATGAAAAAAAAAAAAGCTAAAACTATTGTAGCTGCTGACTTTTATTTTTTGACAGGATGAGTGGAACTCCGCTTTAATTCTGAAACCCAGATAGATGTCAAACACCATTTATTTGCAGTTGTATAGATTTTAAGAATAAATCTACTATTACACAAAACTATCAGGACTACACTTAATTGTACTTGATATCCGCTTCTGTCATTCTTGTGCAGACATCATTAGCGAGAGTCTGTGGCCAGCTTTAAAGTTTAAGTGAAGGGATGGACGCTGGTCAACCAACCCCAGGAGTCCAATGCTGAGGAATGAACTCAGTCGCCATTCTGGCCACGTCCTCTGACGTGTTTTTCCCCACCCATCGGGGGCTCAGTCACCTCTGTGACCAAGCCCCCCAGTGGACGGGGCAAATTTTTTTTGGCCAACAACAGGCAAAATGTGTCAGAGGGCATGGCCAGAATGGCGGCTGAGGCCATTCCTCAACATTGGACTTTTGGGGTCAGTTGAGCAGTGTCCATCCCTTCACTTAAACTGTAAAGCTGGCCACAGACAGTTCGAATTGATTGGAATCATGTATAAGCAGACTGAATGTACCCAAATTCACTTGTATTGGCTGACACTGGAATCGCTCGGGCTTATGCTCCCCTCTTCTCACTTACCGGTGAGGTGACCCTTTTCCTTCCACCATAACATATATTTTTCAGCTTTACAGTTTACCTGATTTTTTTTTTTTTTAAATATTGGTCAGTATTTTGAGTTAGACAATCTTTTCCATGATCAGATATACAGTGGGGCAAAAAAGTATTTAGTCAGCTACCAATTGTGCAAGTTCTCCCACTTAAAAAGATGAGAGAGGCCTGTAATTGGCATCATAGGTAGACCTCACCTATGAGAGACAAAATGAGAAAAAAAACCCAGACAATCACATTGGCTGATTTGGAAAGAATTTATTTGCAAATTATGGTGGAAAATAAGTATTTGGTCACCTACAAACAAGCAAGATTTCTGGCTCTCACAGACCTGTACCTTCTTCTTTAAGAGGCTCCTCTGTCCTGCACTCATTACCTGTATCAATGGCACCAATTGAACTTGTTATCAGTATAAAAGACACCTGTCCACAACCTCAAATAGTCACACTCCAAACTCCACTATGGTGAAGACCAAAGAGCTGTCAAAGGACACCAGAAACAAAATTGTAGACCTGCACCAGGCTGGGAAGACTGAATCTGCAATAGGCAAGCAGCTTGGTGTGAACAAATCAACTGTGGGAGCAATAATTAGAAAATGGAAGACATACAAGACCACTGATAATCTCCCTCGATCTGGGGCTCCTCGCAAGATCTCACCCCGTGCAGTCAAAATGATCACAAGAACGGTGAGCAAAAATCCCAGGACCACACGGGGGGACCTAGTGAATGACCTGCAGAGAGCTGGGACCAACGTAACAAAGGCTACCATCAGTAACACACTACGCCGCCAGGGACTCAGATCTTGCAGTGCCAGACGTGTCCCCCTGCTTAAGCCAGTACATGTCCAGGCCCGTCTGAAGTTTGCTAGAGAGCATTTGGATGATCCAGAAGAGGATTGGGAGAATGTCATATGGTCAGATGAAACCAAAATAGAACTGTTTGGTAGAAACACAACTCGTCGTGTTTGGAGGAGAGAGAATGCTGAGTTGCATCCAAACAACACCATGCCTACTGTGAAGCATGAGGGTGGCAACATCATGCTTTGGGGCTGTTTCTCCGCAAAGGGACCGGGACGACTGATCCATGTACAGGACAGAATGAATGGGGCCATGTATCGTGAGATTTTGAGTACAAACCTCCTTCCATCAGCATGGGCATTGAAGATGAAACGTGGCTGGGTCTTCCAACATGACAATGATCCCAAACATACCGCCCGGGTAACGAGGGAGTGGCTTTGTAAGAAGCATTTCAAGGTCCTGGAGTGGCCTAGCCAGTCTCCAGATCTCAACCCCATAGAAAACCTTTGGAGGGAGTTGAAAGTCCGTGTTGCCCAGCGACAGCCCCAAAACATCACTGCTCTAGAGGAGATCTGCATGGAGGAATGGGCCAACATACCAGCAACAGTGTGTGCCAACCTTGTGAATACTTACAGGAAATGTTTGACCTCTGTCATTGCCAACAAAGGATATATAACAAAGTATTGAGACGAACTTTTGATATTGACCAAATACTTATTTTCCACCATAATTTGCAAATAAATTCTTTCCAAATCAGCCAATGTGATTGTCTGGATTTTTTTTCTCATTTGGCCTCTCATAGTTGAGGTCTACCTATGATGAAAATTACAGGCGCCTCTCATCTTTTTAAGTGGGAGAACTTGCACAATTGGTGGCTGACTAAATACTTTTTTGCCCCACTGTATTCTACTATGAAAAATGCTGGTGCCTAGCTGGCTGGGAGTCACACATCACACCCTTCCATGCCCTGGTGTACCAGGTATTCTCTTCAGCTCCCAACGCTGAATGCAGCGGCAGCAGAACAAAGCTAAGGTAAGTATATGCTGCCAGGCATAGAGGGGTTAACTTGAACCTGTTGCTTTTTCAGGAGAAGATGTAAAGTTTACCAAATGTGTATAATGTAATTGAGTCATTCACAAACTCTTTGTCTCTTATCAGGATCTTTGGAGGATCCGGAGTCCGTGTGGAATCTGTGAAGGGTTTGACGTCTCTATTATGGATGCAATGATCAAGGTTTCAGCATAGTTTTTTACTTTCTTTGTAATAGTAGATCTTACATCTAATGGTGTACTTTAGGTTACTGTACTTTGATAAATTTCTATTCACCCCATCATCACCTTTTAATTTCTATTCAATGTCTACTCACCTTAGCCTTCATGCTCTAAAGCACATCCAGATGAAACCCAGATTTTGGTAAGGCCTCATTCAGACAGATGCTGACACCCATTGTCTGTGAATGAGTACCCTGTTTATGCTGCTTCAGCTGCCAGACACCGCCTGAATGTAGACAGTCTGGCAGTTATTTACTAATACCGAAGAGTTCATAATCTGGTGCAAACCAATCAGCTTCCAGTCTTTATCGTAAAAGCTTAATTAAACAAGCTGAACTTAGGTGATTGGCTACCATGCACAGTTTCACCAATGCATCATTTTAGTAAATCTACCCCTCTGTGTTCATTGCCACTCACCTGCATAGCTGTCAGATTGGGACGAGTATGAACAAGGTGTTCATTCATGGACTATAGATGTCAGTTCTCATCTGAATGAGCCCTGATACCATTTATAGAAGCTATTCCATTTTATTTTTCTTATGGTTAAAAGTGAAGTATGGGTTTGAAAAATAAAACTTTTATAATCCCCTAGGTGGGTGCAGCATTGATCCGATACTTCTTCTGTCTTCTGCCTCTTCTAAGACCGAAAACTGAACGATCAAAGACCACTGATCGCTCGGTTCTCAGTCTTCAGTGTCAGTCACCGGCTCTCTGTTTTGCCCATCAAGCGCTCACTGGAGCACTGGGCTGTGGGGAAGGGGATGGCTATCAAAGGTTCTCAGAGGCTTGCTGGGAGGTTGAGTCAGCTGCTGATCCAGGCATCTGGGTAGATGTCAACTGTAAATTCGGGATCTTTTCTGAGCTTGGACCGGCTGAATGACGTCCGCTCACTGCACTCCTGTGATCCCCAGGAAAAGTATAGCCAAAATAGCATTGGCTATACTTCTCTATGAAATTGTCAGCAGTGTGCATGTTTTTGAGGACAAAGGAAACTGAACTCTTGTGTTGCTGCTCATACCTGATTAATCCAGTATTAAAAGCTCTGCTGCTATCATTTCAATTTAGCACATGCCTTTAAGGAACTTTCTAGAGGCACGCACAAAAGCAGGAAGGGAGAGCAGAGAGGGGCTGCAGTATTTTCCACTGATGTTGAAAGAAGGCCTTCCCTTAGCTCAGAGACTATACACATCTAAATAGATACCTGGGATGCTTTATTTGTATATACCTCTGTATATGCAGAGAGCCCTTTGTCTGCAAACGTCTTTATCTGCTAGTAGACAGGAAATTTGAACTGGCAGAATCACTGATGATAATGAAACTGCTCTCAGAATACAGTAGAAACATGGAAAATGATGAAAGATTATATTTTCAAATATGCTGGGCTTGCTTGAATATAAAAAGCTAAGCTTTGTTTGAAATCCAATTTATTCCTTAAAATGTATCTAAGCCCAAGAATAAAAATGTTATCTATTGCAGCTTATCAGTCCTTAGATGCGGTGGCTGCATTAGTTTTCACTTTAAGAAAATACATGTTGATCTTACCAGAAGGGTGTCACTGTGAGCTAAACTCAAAATACAATATTTTCTTTCTTCTGGAAACTATTGCTCCCCCCAACCCAATGCAATGGAGATGAAGAGCGAAAGTCATATTTGATGTCTAAGCTGGGTGACAATTGTGGCTTCTTCCAAACATACAGTACAGTGATTGAGCCTAGCCAGTCTAGCACAGGAATTGTGTTACAGGCAGGATCACCGGGTGAAAATTAAAGAAAACAAATGCAGCCACTGAACCTGAAGATCATTAATCTGTGATTTATGACATTCTAGTTTTTTTTTTTGGTTTAGATGCACTTTAAAACGGAATTTGCCAGTTCTCTATTTAAATGGCTGTTGTGTTACAAAGAACTATTATACTGAAGCCCTACCTATACACGCAGGTCTGAATTATATGAATGTACCTTTAAAACAGTACAAAATCATTGCATAAGGTGCAAATAAATCCCTGCTGAGATACTGAAGCTGGTTTTTGGAGACCAGATCAGTGAACAGTAGGGGTGTTGTTCAGCTAACAATTGAATTTCACATTGTGTTCTTCCGCACAGTCCTGTACCTCTTCGATTTCTTTTATATTCCTGCTGCCTGAGCATGTAGAACTTTCTGGATATGGCTATTTACCTAACACTTTTTCTGCTATCTCTGGGCTTAAAGGAGAATTTTCAAAACTCCAAATGTAGAACAAGAAGCTTAAATTGGTGTTTTGTTTTTTTTATTGTTACACCACTCCATTTTCAGCGGTGAGTGGAGTAGCAAATTATAGTCTTTGCAGTGCACCTCTCTGTGATATAATTCCACTATTTATTACCCTGATCAGAGTCTGAAATACATTGGCTTTTGTCATTTCCACTAAAATTACTGTGAACCTGGTAATGCCATCAGAATTACAATATGATGACATTCTGCTCTCAGTAGATGTATGGAAAGCTCTTTAAAAAAGAATTCCGGGCAAAAATGTTTTTCTCTCCCATGCAGTGGAGCTGTGCCTGCACTGCATAGGTTAACTTTTCGTTTTTCTCTAGAGGATTTCAGAGCAGAGATATACTTACCTAATCCGCCAATCTCCTGAGAGCAAGAACAGTCCCTGCCGCTCCTGCCCCCCCCCTGCGAGCAGTCTTATGAATGGACTGTTCCTGATGCCATCACGCCTATAGAGCGGCTCTGGCTGTGAGGACGGCAGGAACAGTATACCACTGACTGTGGGGGAGCAATATTTTCCCAAAGATCAAAGGACCGGATGAATATAGCCTTTCGGTGCGTCCCTAGACAAAACGAGCAGTTAACCCATGCAGTGCGGGCACAGCCCCACTGCATAGGAGAAAACCTTTTTTTCATGTTCTGCATTCAGGTAAAAAAACCTTTCAAATGTTGCTCCTCTTCCTCCCCGTTTCTTTCTCAAATACTTAGCTGAGCCCAATCTCAATTTAGTGCTGTGCCCAGTGAAGTGCTGTGCTCCCCTCTGTTTCTTCCCCACTGGACATGGAGGCAGCAATGGGAGCTATTGGCTCCTGCCACTCAAATCCAGTGAGGGAGGAACACGGCAGGGCCTCGCCTTGCCTCGCTATGTGTGTCTACAGAGGCATACAGCCGAGCGCTCAGCATCTGCCCCCACAGCAAGCATCTAACTATGGGGGCAGACACAGAAGAGGAGGATCAGACATCATCAGCGGGGGACCTGAAAAAAAGAGTTTTGGGGCCGCTCTGACATCGTCAGTGGGGGGACCTGAAAAAAAGAGTTTTGGGGCCGCTCTGTGCAATACCATTGCACAGAGCAGGTAAGTATAACTGGTTTGTTATTTTAATTAAAAAATTAGCTTTAGTAACGCTTTAAAGTGTGTGGGGGCACCCGACAGGATGGAGGGTCCAGGGCTGCTGGCGAGGGTCGAGAAGGACCCTTGCTGCTCTGTACAAAACTATTGCACAGAACAGGCAAGTAGAACACGTTTGTTTTTTTTTTTCTAAAACAAGACTTTAATATCACTTTAATCTTTTAGGCATGAGTCAAAGTGCCAGATGGCTAAACTAAGGAAAAAAAAGCAGAACAAAACCTGGAAGCTGATTGGTTTCTATGCAGAACTGTACCAGATTTTGCGCACTCCAGTTTTAGTAAATCAACCCCTTTAGTGCGTTGTGGCTGAAGAGAAAAGTAAAATTAATATTCGAATGTTAATCTGTATGATGTACCCTTTTAAATTCACTATTCCTAATATTTTTTCAGAAATCCCTTGATTTTCGGGAATCGCAGGAGGCGGAGCCCCACGCTCTCTGGGAATATCCCTGCAGAGCACTTTCACAGCCAGTAAAGGTCATGTCATTTGACTTCCAGGAGACAGTCCCAGATAATGACATGAAGTCAGAGGGCTCTGTGAGTCTAGTGAGGTAAGTATGTAACTAATATATAATGACACAAATACTTTGCCAGTATAGTTTGAGGGCCCACTAAGAACTTACCTTTTATGTGCTTTAAAAAAAAAAAAAAAAAATACAGAATGATGCGTTCTTTCATATGTAAATGTACGAGAATCCATGTGAACTCACTGTAAACCCATTTAATTGTAACTCCGTAAAAAAAAAAAAAAAAAAGACCATAACTAATGCTAAAAATGCATCTCAATCACACCACAAATGCATGTAAACGCTCTTGTGGATGTGCACACAATGCAGGGATGGTGGTAAAAACGAGGCCCATGCAGTTTACCTTTCTCGTCTGTACAATTATTTTTTTTTGGAAGAGAAAACTCCAGTGAGGAGGTCTGATGTCTCCCAGTTGGTGGCGACTGATTCAAGTCACAGACCTTTAATAGGTACATATTAGTGTTCCAGAAGAGTAGACCTTTTTATATGAAAGTAACTCACCTATAGTCCCAGACATTCACTGGAGAGGGTAGATGAGGCACAGGCTGACATAAATGAATGGTAAATCATCACAAATTGTATAAACGTGAAGCAGTGTTAAACCGTACCATATACACAGATATACAAATGTTCGATGATGAAAAATGCCAAATATACACGATCGATGAAAAATGCCAAATGTACACGATCGATGAAAAATGCCAAATGTACACGATCGATGAAAAATGCCAAATGTACACGATTGATGAAAAATGCCAAATATTCACGATTGATGAAAAAAATGCCAAATGTACACGATTGATGAAAAATGCCAAATGTACACGATTGATGAAAAAAATGCCAAATGTACACGATCGATGAAAAATGCCAAATGTACACGATTGATGAAAAATGCCAAATATTCACGATTGATGAAAAATGCCAAATATTCACGATTGATGAAAAATGCCAAATATAAACAATCGATGAAAAATGTTTGTTTTCTTTCTTTTTAAACTGAATACTTATTTTTGGCTACAGAAACTTGAATATAAGGTCATAGCTGCCTTCCCCATAAAAAGGAAAAAACTAAAATTATACATTTTCCACTGAAAAAGGAAACTCAAAGCTGTATATGTCAGGACAATTGCCAGATTATTTTTGAATTTAAATAAATATGAATACATTTCACATGTTTAGATACAAATGTCCCAACAGTGCTATGTGATTGGATTTGAAAAAAATCAGTAAATAGTTAAACATCCATATATCATGTGAATTATATTTAGACAAAAAAGTAATGAATCCAGCTATCACTCCTTATAAAGCATCCAGTGTGGAATTAGTGTTGACACAACAAACAAAAATTACTCCCAAGACACCTCCTACTGGTGTTACACAGTCCTTACCAGATAGAAGGATCCCACAGAGAGATCATCATGTGCCTGCCTACCTTTCAGCTATACCAACTTTCACCTCCGCGATTGCACAGTAATCCTGGAATACCACTTTCAATAGAGATCTAAAGAAAAAGAGGACAAATCCCATAGTGTAGTTGTAAAAATGAATATTAAAATTGCACATACAAGAACTGAAGAAACAGCATGTATAGCCAGCAATGCCCAACATTGGCGTGCGTGATGACATCATGTATCTGGTGCTGTCCAGCGCGTTTCTCCTACATAGGCATTCTCAGGGGAAGAGCCTGATGATGCCTCTATGGACATTTTAAGTATTTTCTGATTTTGTATGCATGACATTTTTCATTGAATGTGTATATTTGGTATTTTTCACACCGCTTCACGTTTTTGTGGTGATTTAGCAACGTTTTAAAAGGAAAGCACACCTTATTTGGAGTATATATTTTTGCACATCTTGTGTTCATTCCCGTTTCATACTATTGCGGTGCAGGAAACTTCATGTGATTTGGATAGGAATTGCACCGCATTCCTGTTCAAATCACGTGATTCTTTGCAGTACGATTAGAAAAATTAATTTTGTATGGCTCAAACCGCACACAAGGTGCAGGCACCTTTTTTCTTTCCCGCACTGGAATCAGATCGCATGGATGTTCACATAGTCAATTGTAAGCTCCAAGGAGCAGGGCCCTCCTAACACTCTTGTATTGAACTATATTGTTGCTGTATTGTCTCCCGTTATATTGTAAAGCGCTGAGCAAACTGTTGGCGCTATATAAATCCTGTATAATAATAATAATTGCACTGTGTTTTGTGAACCATTTTTGGGGTGTCATTAACTTAACAGACACTCGCATGAAAGGAGTGTGAATGTGGTGCAGGAAGCACACAGGAATTTCGGCAAATCCCCAGTGTGGACTGACACTTTTTTTTTTTTTTTTTGGTGCTGCAGTCATTTCTTACATTTGTTTTTTTTTTTTTTTTGGGGGGGGGGTCAAAAATGAAGGTTTGTAAGATGTCATTAATGTATAAATCCTACACAGCAGCCCATCATGATAGAACCTTTGAGGATGTTTCTTGATTCAGCCTATATTTTGTATATCTATAAAGTTGCACTGTCGAGCAATGAAACACGCAGTTTCTCAGATGTCATGTGGTGGGTACTGTAGTGGACCTGCCACCACATAAGTAAGAGGAAAGTGGATGATATCATCAAAGGTAAAATCACCAGATCATACATGTGCCCATATGAGAATGTTACAGATTGTAGAATATAGTAGTTACCAAAAACTCCACTTCAGCAGATCATTTTACTTTTCTGTGCTGCTCTTATAATCTTTCTCCCTCTCTCCCTCTGATAGGTTGGGAAGGTGTCATGGTTTTGTACTTTGGATGGAATATCAGCTCACAGAAGACATTTCAGTCAGTACTGGCCTGTTGGAAGTGTCTGAAGAGAAGGTGAGTGACTGAGGAGCATAACTGTTTCCCCTTAACTGCTTTCCCGCTGCCCTATAGCAGATATACTGCAGATATATACAAGATTTTCCATTCGTGGCTGGGGCTGTCAATCACCAGGTCCCGGCCAGTGATTACCCGCTGGCGCCCGGTTATTACCGAGCATCTCCGGCGGGGAGGAGGACTGTTTTGTTTACGAACAGTCCTCCTCCCTGTCAGATCAGGCACACTGCTCTGCATGGCTGTGCACAGCACAGCCATGCAGAGCAGTGTGATTACAGTGAAGCACACTGGCACAGCCCCCCAGTAAAACACTCCCTGCACACGGTTAACCCTTTGATCGCACCTCATGTTAACCCCTTCCTGCCCAGTGCCATTAGTACGGTGTCAGTGCTTTTCTTTTAGCACTGATCACTGTATTGGTGTCACTGGGGATGTTGGTGACACCAAGTCAGTTCCTCCCAGTGTCAGAATGTACGCCGCAGTCCCGAAATAAGTCGCTAATCATTACTAGTAAAAAAAAAATCCCAGTATATATACCACCATTTGTAAATGCTATAACTTTCACGTAAACCAATTAATTTACACATATTGGGATTTTGTTTAGCAAAGACATGGAGCAGAATACATTTTGGCTTAAATTTATGACTAAATTTGATTTTTTAAAATTTTTTTAATGGACATGTTTAATGGCAAAAAGTCAAAAAATATTTTTTTTTCTTTCAAAATGGTTGTCCTTTTTTTTTTTTTCTTTCTTTATAGCGCAAAAAATAAAAAGCGCACACACAATCAAATGCCACCAAAAGAAAGATCAATTCGTGGGAAAAAAGGATGTAAATTTAATTTGGGTGCAGCATTGCATAACCGCGTAATTGTCAGTTAAAGTAACGCATCGCCGTAACACAAAAAATGGCCTGATCAGAAAGGGGGATGAATCCTCTGGAGGGCAAGTGGTTAAAGCAGAATTCCAGGCTATCAGGAACTAATCTGAAAACTGCTCCCACCCCCCTTCTAACATCTATACTAATATGTAGAAGAAAGATGCATATACTTACCTATTTTCAGGGCACTCTGGTCCAGTCACGTGATCTCTCCTGCGTCAGCCAGAAGAGAGGGGGGGGGAGAAAGTGCATCAGCAATGGCTGGAATGCCTGAATGGTGACAACACCCATAGGCTTACTATGGGCCCTCCATTGTCACCATTGTCATTGTCTCTCCCTCCTCTTCCCTGAAGCCGCTGCTAGCTGACAGAGGGGAGGGGATCACATGACCAAACCGGAGCGGCTGAAAATAGGTGCGTATATGCATTTTTCTTCTCCAGGTTAGGTAGTGTAGGTGTTAGAAGGGGGGTGGGAGCAGTGTTAGGATTCGTTGGTGATATCCTGAAATTCTTCTAAATCACAGTGTTAAGCTAGTGCTCTGCCAAGTTGAGTTGTGTGTTTTCTTACAATCAGATCATACACGGTTTAACCAACAAGATATTGTATATTTTCTATGTCTCTTTCATTCTCTTTTTATGTTGTTGCAGGGTGACTGTCAGTGGTATCCACACAGCAAACAAGGAGTCTTCTTCCTAAATTCTGTCCTGGAGCTGGGACCATCTTCTACACAGACCTATAGTTCTGTCTCTTATCAGTTGACTTTCAGTCCCAAACTGGGGGACATTCAGATAAATTTTATCCCTAACTCTTAGCACTCATCAGCTCTCTTTTACTTCCACAAGTGCAAAGTATCTTAAAGGACAACTCTTCCTGAAACAGATTTCAGCATTGTGAATAAAATGGTTTACAGTAGATTTCAATGCACTGCTGGATCTTTACTGCTTGTCTGGGTTACTAAATCCTGATATCTACTTCCACCAGTAGCACTGTGAAAGGCCAACTCTGGCTTTTCAGTTGAGCTAACATTAACATCAGTTTGAGGAGGAACGCTACCCTTACTATAAAATAGAATTGTTAAATCCTAAAACTTGTCCCTGTATAAAAGTAGGAAAAATATACATACTAGTGAATGAACTCCAGCATTGTCTTGCCTGTAGGGGAAGTTCTCCCTACACTGCTCCTGGTCTGATTTCAGATTTGGTGCATGCAGACAAGCTGTACAGATCTTCCAAGTTTATAGAACCTAGCATGTGGCACCCCCTGCACATGCGCTGATGCACTGTGGACCCTGCCACCATTTCTGTGTATGTACAAGATCCCACAAGCTGCCTCCTAGGATGGGTGATGTAGAAATCCCAGAAAACAGTTTGCAGACCTGTGTGCATGTGCAGAAACACCACAATGGATCCAGGAGTGACCAGCGGCGTTTCTGCATATGCGCAGGGTCCAGATACTTCATCTTCAAATGAAGGGTGGTAGTTGCAAAGGTTAGTGTCCCTCTCAATAGAATTTCAATTGAAATTCAAATTAAGAGTTCATATAAGTCCATCAAGGGCAAGCTGATCCAGGAGCTGAAACAGGCTCTATGGCACACAGGGAATAAGAGCAAAGGAAAATCGCCTCTAAGTGTGGAAGGACCAGTATGTTTTTTTTAAACCCAATGTACGGCTAATCACATTTCGAAGGTTAAAAACAAGCTCATCAATGTCTCAGGGATGCCAAGCTGGAAATATGCAGGTGGAAGAAGCCAGGTCTAGTTCCAGTCGTGCACCAGGAGAGGAGAAGAAGCCGGCCAGTATCTCCCTGGATGTCCTTGGAGTGCATAGTCGGTGGTATGACGTCACCAGGGGCCAAAAGGCAACACGTTTCAGAGCATACACAGTGCCACAAATGAGCATACATGCTCCTTTCTCAAGCATCTTGAAGCATGAGAAAGGAGCGCACATTCCCGTTTGTGGCACAGCACATGTGCTGAAACACATTTCATTCTGGTTCTAGGTGACGTCATCCTGCCAACGCTGCGCTCTGTGTTGCGCTTCACAGACATTCAGGGAGATACTGATCAGCATCCCCTCTATTCCTGGTGCATAACTGGCACTGCACCCAGAGTTTTCCACCTGGCATATTTCCAGCTTGGTCTCCCTGAGACATGTACCCTAGGTTCACATTTTTGCGGGTGGTGCCGTTGCGGATCCACATGAAAATCCATGCAGCCGCACCACCCGCACAGAGGAATGCGGACCCGCCGGCGACTGCCATTAGTTCTAATGGCATACCGCCTGCACTGGAAAACGCAGCCGTACTGGGAACCGAGGTTCCCGTGTGGGCTGCGTTTTCCAAAGAAGTGCAAGGACTTCTTTCCCTGCGTGTCACGGGCATGGGAGTCCATTCAAATGAATGGGCTCTCGTGCCCGTGCATAACATGGCCCGCACGGCTGCATATGTGTGAACCAGGGGTGATGAGCCTCTTTCTAACCTTCAAAATATGAGTGGCCGTACATTGGGTTTGAAAAAAAAATACTGGTCTTACTACAGTTAGAGGCGCTTTTCCTTTGTTCTTACTTCATCCTCACCTAGGCAAGAATTAATGACCTGAAGTTTAGAAGAAAAAAAAAATGTATAGGTAGGGGGTGGAGGCAATAGAGAGGAACATTTAAAAGAAAGGGTGAAGGTCCTCTTTAAGTGAATGCTCAATCTTTTTCTATGCAAAATTCACTGCAGAGAGGATATGACATGACTGGTGGCCATGACACCAGTAAAGACCTGTAAAATGGAGAAATTCAGTTTTGGATGGACTTATTTTTTAAATAGACCAATAAACATGCAATGTCATCTTCTGTAAAAGTGATGTAACACCTTTCATGGACAAGAATGTGATCATGTTGGCGAAACATTATACATTTTATCAATAAGCGATATTTTTTAAAATAAAGATGGCCTACAGGGAAACAGTATTCTAAAGAGACAGACCAGATCAATGTTTATTATGAGATTTATGTAATAAAGCATATATTAAGATATAATAAAATATATATTACATTGTGCACCATGCTCATTGATTGTACAAATCTATTACAATTAACATTCTTCTGGATTGTAACTGTGAACAGTTCATGCTAAGTTGTAAATTAACTTTTAATACAGCAAACAATAGAAAGAATTATGCAGAACAAGAGTTCTGATTTCAGTTGCTAAATGAGCAAGAAAAAACAAAAAGAATGCATTTGCCCTACTGCAATAAATCCTTTACACACGTGAATGTGAGTGTATAGATTTTACTATGTTTTATTATTAAAGGATTTTTTGCATTAGGGAAAATGTGTTCTTTCTTTTGCTCATTTTCTGTCTCTGGCATCTGGTGGATGAGGTTTGAGCTGCAACTGTCTCTGGATGTGTTATGTCATTATCTTAAAGTGGTTGTAAAACCTCAGACATGAAATAGTGTGTCCAAAAGAACAAAACAAAACCAGTGCTCAAATCTTCATGCACACTAAAGGAAATTCTGAATGCCAAACGTTGAGGTGCAGCCTTTCAGAGATTGGGAAATCTAGGTAATGGTGAACAAAAACAAACAAGGGCGCACTCCCATCGTGCATTAACGTGGTACACCACGTATTTATTGAAAAATTGTAGATATATACTCACAAACCAAAAGGGATAAAAACAGAACAGGTGATCCGTAAGGACAGTCCAGTGGATTCAAACACCCTATAAGGGATAGGCTACTGCGTTTCGGGAGAAGAACCCCCTTCCTCAGAGCTAAAATGTAGACCTGCTAGTCCAACTTATGTAGGCCAATACACCCGGTATATAGATGATATTCTCATCATATGGGAAGGTGATCTTACTAGGTTGAAGGAATTTATTTCCTATTGTCAATCAAACCCATATGGGATCGAATTTACATATGTTGTGGATGACTTCAAAATCGTTTTTCTAGATTTGGAATTCAGAGTTGGACAAAATTCACGAGTGGTTTCAAAGACCCATTTCAAGCCTGCAGCTGGGAGCCTTACATGCCAGGAGCCATCACCATCCTAGATGGATTAAGAATGTCCCTCTATGGCAATTCTGTAGACGAAGGAGAACGTGTACTTTAGTAGAAGACTGAGACACTCAGAGTCTTATCCTAAAAAAGAAATTCTTGGAGAAAGGCTATACTGCCACCAACATAGAGGAGGCATACAATAAGTATAGATCACTGTACTCCAGTGACACGGGTACATCTGGAGACCTCCACATTTTACCTAAGGCAAACACCGCCAAAAACGATAGGAATACATATAGTGCCGCATTTTGCACCAGATGTAACCAGAAGGCCTTTTACTTCCAGAGGACACTTAACACGTATTGGGGCATTTTGGCCCAAGATCCTCACCTTTCTGCACACCTGCCTTCTCGGCCGGAAGTGATTTTCCGACGCCCTAGTGACCTTGTTTGTTTTTGTTCACCTTTACCTATGAAATAGTGTGTATTTGTCTGAACTAAGAGCATGAAGTGTCCCTTTTGTCTGCTGCCGTGTTGCTCTGCTATCAGCATGAATCACATATGACAAGTTTTCCTGACACCAGGAGAAAAATGGGGACAGGGAAGGGACCTCCAGCTGATTGACAACCTCAGCTATGTTCCTGTGAGCTGTGTGGAGGGGGAGTGTCTCTTCCCTCCAATCAGCTATCAGAGCTCTTCTCACTTAGATCTGCAGAGTGTGACTTCAGCTCACCGCCTCTTTTTTTTTCTGAACTCTCAGACAAGTGTTATAATTCTGGACTTTGAATGGATGTAGAAAAGAAAAGGCTGCATATAGACAGGTACAGCTTATGTAGGAGGATTTGTTTTATCTTTGTGTACCGCCTGAGGTCAGTCACTTCAGTGGGTATATGGAAGGCTTTCCAACCACTTTAAAGCAGCAGTAAACTCTTTACTGCATATACAGACTGATTTTACTGTTGTGGGTTTAGTAACACTTTAAGAACAAACCTACAGACCCTATCATGTTTACCTGTTAATGGGAACAATGGCCAATGAATATATTACATATTTTGTGGCCAGAAAGTAGAAGTCTGGTAATACTGCGTTTTGTGTAGATGTGCTGCTGAGCTGTGTATACAGATCTAACAAATGGGTCTCAGGTCACACCCTTCCTGCCAAGCTGAGTTAGTGCTGGGCTTTCTTATGAGACTGCCCAGCATGCATTACACACAGAAGCATGACAGCACCCTGCAATAAATGTGGGATTTTATAAATAACAAATACGGATTCAAAGATACATTTCTTAACTTCAAATAAAGTTGACCAAAAGCCATTTTAGTTTCCCTTTACATTACAATATACCACAAATAATTTTTCCAGTTTGCTTGGAATCTTATCTCAATGTATACTGTTTTCTTAAAATTAACTCCTTGACGGCGACGTAACACAATTATGTGGCCTCACAGAACTGGGCTTTTTTCCGTAGGGCCACATAGTTGTTTACCTGTCTTTGTGCTGGGAGCACGCTACACTGCACGTTCCCAGCACAAAGACCGCAGTGTCACCGAGAGCCCCGGGTCCCGATCGTTAGAATCGGGACCCGGGACTCTTGATTTCAGGTCACGATCGCTATGATAGCCTCTTATTGGCTATCACAGTGATCAGTCACTGTACAGCCCGGCCCCCTTGTTTTTTTTTACTCTCTCTATGAATGGAGGAGAGAGATACAGTGGGGATCGAAAGTTTGGGCACCCCAGCTAAAAATTTGTATTAATGTGCATAAAGAAGCCAAGGAAAGATGGAAAAATCTCCAAAAGGCATCAAATTACAGATTAGACATTCT